TCTCTAAACTTCCAACTGCCAGTTACTGGGACTGGACGACCAGTGATGGATCACTCAAAATTGCCCTGTTCTGTTAATTCCTTCTGAAGCAACTAGCACTGGCCACTCTCAGAAGATAGGATACTGGGCTAGATGGACCATTGGTCTGACACAGTAAGGCTATTCTTATGTTATGTACGAATTGAACCAATGGCTCCTGATGTTTACGCCTATGCGCTATCCTATTGCACACTGCCTCCCATGTGTTGAATAGGGAGATATTTTAATGAGATAGGGCTGTTAACATAATCTCTCCCACATCCATTATCACGTGCATAATTCCTACCATCAGGAAACCTAAGCACAAGTTGAAAACTGAAGCAGCTTAAAAGTTGAAGTGCCACTTTCTTCAGTCATGCTCGATGGGTATAATCTAAACTGCAATTTGCTTAATATTTATTTATTGTTATCTTTCCTCCAGTCATTTTTCCCCTACCTGAATGGGGAAAATATTTTTAAAGGGGCACTGCCCTTTAAAATCATAGGTCAAATTTAGCTCTGGAGGTGTTCTACCAATGTCAATGCAGCATACCTTTCCAAATTCCCCAGTGTGTAGGGACAGCTCATTCTCTGACACTCTGCATCCATTCTTCTCCAAGTGCTGGGAAGGGGAATTCTAGACTCAGGGAGAGCCATAGCCCCACCTTCTTCCTCACTCCCTTTGGGGGCCTGGGTGGTCTCAGAGATACAGGAAGGGAGCAGCCCGTGATACAGAAGCTGCAATGGCACCTACACAAGCCACACAAGTCTCCTTGTGCCCTTTCCACCTTCCTGACCACCTGCATAAGTGCCAGGCACACACTTGCCCTTAATGAGTAATTTTTAAAAGCAGCAACCAGATGTAAGCATGTGTGCCTGTGATGGGGCAGGCTGCTCCTTAAGGGCAGTATTGCCAACTGGTCAGTCCACCTTGCCACCTGGCATGGCTCTTTAAGCACTGAAAGGTCAGATTATAGATGTAAGGATCTGGGAGATATTGGGAAAGAGGAAGTGGTCCCAGGAGTAAGTAGGGGTTGGGACGAAATCCTGGTACGGTTTCATTAAGGGCAAGGAACATTGCGGAGAGGGTAGAAAAAGGCACTCCTCTCTCCAAACCAATGGGAATGAGCTGGGAGAAAGGGAACAGCATAATGCTGCTTCCCTCATAGCAGGGCAGATGCAGGATCTCATAGCATGGAAGAGTTGTGAGCAATGAGCTGGCAGGCAAAGTGGCAAAAAAAATGTTTAAAATGGGCAAATTGATGTAGAGCGCCCTTCAAGGAAGCTGGCATTTAGAAATCTAATTAAAATTGAGTTGAGAGAGGAATGGCAGGATTTATACCCAAAAGAAAGGAAGGGGAAAATATTCCATGAAATATGCCCAAGAGTCAAAAAATGCTGATATACTCCAAGGCCCTGAGAGACAGAGTGAAGGGGCTCCGCTAATTTGAACTGGCCATTGTGGCTTAAATAGTAATTTGTTTCTAATAAATAAACAAAGATGGATTAAGTGGGATGCACAAGGTCCAGGAAACCGTTGATCATCTCCTTGGGGAGGGCAAAGAGTGTACCATCGAAAGGAGGTATTTATATGAAAAACTTAGAGGCCTTAAAGTATCAAAATTTTCGCTGAAACATCTAGTAAGAGCATCAGGATAAATGGGGTCCAAAAAAAAAACCATTGCAATTCTTTATGAACACTGGGAAAGGCAAAAGACTTCAATTCTTGAATTATATATGTGTCCAGTGCTTGGCAGTCAGACTCAGCAAGTGAGTCTGCTTCACCGTAAAACACAAAAAGAACAAGAACGGGGCAGAAGCTAAAAGTAGTAAGAAGGCTCCAGAGTTGGCAGGAAGCAGACACCAGCAGGAGAAACCCTCTGAGTCTGAGGACGAAGCAGAGCTAGCTTAGGGGTAATAACTGCTTGAACTATCCTGGTCCAGGAGAACTAAGGAGATGCTTACCATAAGGAGAAGTCAGAGACTGAGAGGTAAATTACAACCCAACCCTGAACTCCAGGAGGAGAAATGGGGACTCCTGGTAAGGAAAGGGACAATAATTGCTTGAACTTGTTCCAGGAGGAAGGCTGGGGCTCCTGCCATAAGGAGAGACAAAGACTGAAAGAGAACCCTGAGGGGATTGGAACCCCAGCTTAGGGTATATCTACACTAATAAAAAACCCACAGCATCACATCTCAGAGCGCAACAAGTCTGCTGACTTGCACCTGTGGGGCTCTGGTTGTGGGAATACATGTAAGCAGAGTCAGGATGAGCTCTACCCTGACATCTGGTGGTGAATTATGGCGAGTGTGGAAAAGAACTCCAGGGGCTGATCTTGTTTGCATAGGCACACCCACTCGCCTGGCATGAAACAACAGCAACTCAAAGTGGTTACTTTGGCTGGTGTGGGATCCCCAGTTTTCTCTGTTATTGGGACAGGAAGAATAGTTTTGTTACCCTGATTCTGTGAATCAAGGCCAGTGAAACTGTTGTATGACAGAAGGACTGAGTGAGTCCTTCACCATTACCTAAGTAGGACTTGCTTGACAAGGGGCATGGGTTACAAAACCCAGTGAATAGAGAGAGGATGGGAATAGGTATTTGTACCTGATGGTATGGGTTCTCTCTGAGGGGTTGAAACACCAATTGCACTATCTTCTCTCTCCACTGTTGGATATCAGATTTCAACTTTGATTCCATTACAAGTCTAGTTACAGACTGCTGAGCTCAATTCACTTTGGGCCAATGGTGTATTAGCACTGGGGCTCCCCTACTATGAGCTAAAATCACAAAAGAGCTAAAGTTATTAAGAGTTGAGATCACTGAGGCTGTGTTAACTAGTGGGGGAGCCTGAAGCTATATTGCTAAGCGGTTGGCGGAGCAGCTAGCAGAGTGGAGCCTTGCGGGGACGGTTGGAGTGGAGCTGAGCGACTCACAGGTCGGTGAGCAGAGTGGAGCAGCTGCCAGAGCAGTTCGTGGGACGGCGGGAGCAGCTCACGGGGCAGCTGGTGGAGTGGAGCGGCTCATGGTGAAGGCTGCGGCGGAACCCCGTCGGCCTCGGATCACATAAGGTGCCCCTTAACACCCTGCGTGCCCCCCCCGAACTCTGGGGCTGCACTGACCAGGGACAGAGACTTTGGGGGGTTGTTGGACCTTTGGGACTTTGGTGATCCTTGGGTTGCTGGTTTCAAGAACCCAAGGGAAAGGACACAGCCCAACTTGCTGGGGTGGGTTTTTTTGCTCATGGTTTGTGTTATGAATCCTGTTTGTGGTGTTTTTCCAATTTAATGCTGATGTTGTTTACCTCATGTTATTAAACATTTTCTGTTACACTCAGACTCCGTGCTTGCGAGAGGGGAAGTATTGCCTCTTAGAGGCACCCAGGGGGTGGTATGTAATTGTCCCAGGTCACTGGGTGGGGGCTCGAGCCGGTTTTGCATTGCGTTATTGAAATGGAACCCCTAGATACAGAACCCGGCCCTTGTTGCTGCCAACTTAGATGGGCAGAAGGGTTACATACATATAGCAATGTAGACATCCCGGCTTAAGCTTCCCACATGTGGGGTCTCAGAACCCAGGCTCCAGCCTGAGCCTGAATGCCTACACTGCAGTTTTATAGCCCTATGACCTTACAGCATCACGAGCTCAAGTCAGCTGACTTGAGCCCGATGCATCCATGCCATGGATCTTTTATTGCAGCGTAGACTTATCTTTAGAGGGCAGGCTTCAGATGAACCTGGAAAGCCAGAAGCACCTTCAGAGACAGAAGGTGGGCAAAGTAATATATTTTATTGGACCAACTACAGTTGGTGAGAGAGACCAGATTTTGAGCTTCTCTCAGCAACAGAAGTTGATCCCATAAGAGATATTACCTCACCCACCTTGTCTCTCTAATATCCTGGGACTGCTACTGTAATAAACAAGTCCAAAAGGAGGGCATTATTAAGTCAAGTGTCAAGAGTGCCTGAAATGGATTTATTGGCTTCCTAAGAAGGGAAACTGAGGCAGGCAGGTTGTGCAGTGCCACACTACTTCAGCAGGGGGCACTACAGTGCAGTCACAACCTATGACAGAGCCCCATTAAAATATTAGGCTGTGCCCAATTAAAATTTAGTTGGTTAGAAATAATGTCCAAGGCACTAAGCATTTGTGTACAGCTCCCACTAGCATTCATGAGAGTTACTGCTCATAAAAAGGGCAGAACAATTTTTCTGTATCAGAAAAATGCCAGCTTACAATATTTGTATGCAAGACCTTGGCCACCAAGCGTTAAACAAACACAGTAGCACACCAGTTTAAGGATACATTTTTGCACTGGGAACAAACAGATGTTGAAGAACCTGAGCCTGATGCTTCCTTGCCTCTTGTGTAGTCATTTACACCAGTGCAAAGTGAGTGTACAATGTTATCATTCTGATCTGGTAGTAGTTTGCATTCACTCTGCACTAAACGAGATGTAACGCAATGGAGAATCAGGCCCTTGAAATCCAAGGAAATGAAGTGTATAATGTAATCTAGGAATAGGCAATAATAGGACATTTCCATTTGATATCACTGCAACAGTTAACGTGCAGATTCCCTCGAGTATTCCCCCAGTCATCAGGTAAAGTACTAATGGACTTTGAGCTAATAGGGCTTTTTGTCAGTGAGGTGAGAGAGCACCGTGGAATAGGAGGAAATTATTTCTTCAGCCCATTGTTATCATGCACAGCAAGGAGATGTGCTTAAACACGTCACAGGCCAGTATCTCAATGGAACATATTTATAGCACTGTTTTTGGAGACGAAAATAGTTCTGCCACTGAGAGAGGGAACAAAAAGTGTTACCTAAAAATAAATGTCACAAGTTGATGTTACCTGCAGTGCTGGGTTTACAGTGGCGCCATGGAGCCGGGCCCATGCTCAGAAGGGGCCCCAGCCTGCTCTGCTTGCACTGTGCCCTGAGATCCCGCCAGCCCGCTGGCTCCCCCCCCCCGGCCTGCCCACCCACCACTTGCGCCTCTCGGCCTGCCCATCAGCCAGCTGATGCCTCCTCTCCACCCCTTGACCTCACCCGCCGGCTTCTCTCTGCCTCCTGGCTGGATCCCAGTGCACCTCTGGCTCCGGGCAGTCTCTGCTTCCCACCACCTGGGGGCCCCCACCTGTCTCCCTGGAGCTGAGCCGCCTGGGACTGATGCAGAAGCCTGGTCAGTCTCGGCCAGGTAGGGGTGGGGAACAGTGTGGGGGGCTTGGTTGGGCCCTTCCAGGCAAGTGGGTCCTGAGGGAGCCTGGGTGGTGAAGCCCTGGCCTGGCTGATCGCGCCACTCTTGAGGGGCTGGAGTGATTCCCCGCCCTAGGACACTGGTGGCTCAGCCGGGCAGTTGCCTCCCAGCAGGGCCAGTGAGTGGGGCCAGGAGGCAGGGTGTGGGGGAGTGGGTCTCCGGAGGGCCTGGGGCGGTGCGGGGCTGTGAAACTGCAGGGAAGATCTCTGTGTGTTGGGGCACTAGGGAGTGGGGGGTTCTGTGTGGGGTGCTGGGAGTTGTGGCAGAGTCGGGGGAGGCTGGGCATAGCGGGTCTGGGCGGGAGCTTTGGCCATAGGGAATCGGGTGTATGTGTTCCGGCGTTGGGTGGGGGGCTGTATGGCATGACATGGGCCCACCCCCGAGGGGAAGGGGCATGCTGGCAGCACAAGGCCAGGAGGGCCATTGGACGTCTGGCAACTGCCAGTCTGTAAATAGTGCCCTCACACAGAGCTGGGTGGAGCGGGGACATCCCTGCCATGCCATGCCCCATTGCCCCTGGTTGCTCCTCGCTCCAGGGACTGAATCCCCTGCACCATGCTCTATTTTCCCCTTGGGGGCCCACAAATATGTTTGGCGCTGGGCCCACAAAAGGTTAATCTGGCCCTGGTTACCTATTTCATTTCCTTTTTAAGAGTTGGATAAATGGAATACATGAAGAAACATTTGGGTTGTGCAGGCAGTACTGAGGCCCTTTTGGAGCTTGAACAGTTTTTACTTTCACACTCTACTAATTTATCAGCAGTTATCCATTTTCTGCAAAACAATCTCTCTGTTAGTAAGAAAAAAGGTAATTAAATATGCACAGGGAAATTAGCCAATCTAGGCAAAAACATGGTTGGGAATCATTGGGATAGATGCACATTTTCCTTCACATACATTGTTCTCTCACAAACTGGCATGACTCTCATTGGCTTCAATATGTTTCACCTGCTTATGCTGGGGCTGAATGTGGTCAGTATTAGTAACTTCTCTCTTTTTACCCAGAGGATAAAACATGTTTTCAAATAAAACAGTGCCAGATCCTCAGTTGGTAAATATTAGTGTTGTTTCATTGACCTTAATGGAGGGGATTTATACTAGCTGAGGGTGTGGGCCATCAATTCTGCCGAGTTATACAGCTGTAGCTTCCATTGACTTCAAAGGGAATAGCACTCATGTCATTGAGGGCAGAATTGAGCACAAGTAGTTCTATTACTATAAGCTAATAATAATATAACATCTATAACTCTAGTTCATCTAAAAATTTCAAGGAACTGGCAGATCTTGCACTCCCATCATAAGACCATTTGTCTCTCTAAAGGGCCTGAAGTTAAAATACTTCTAAGCATGGCACAGCTCATTTAAAAAGGAGAGTGCCCAGGAGAGAAGTCCTTCCTATCATAGCTCATTAGCATGATTTGGATTTCTATATGGATAAGCTAAACTAAAACCCCAAATCTGAACACCAAAGCTTGATCTAGGAGTTCATCCCTCGGACCTTTTTTCAATAATGGGCTGAATTCACAAACCTATTCTGAATACCCCAAAGTTTGAGGAAAATTGGATTCATATCTGTTTTTGGATCCCTAGTTTGAGACTATTCAGATCTGAGTGTGATGTTGCACTCCATATGTTTTATGGAAATATGCTTATGAGTGTGAATACGATGTAACTGGAATATGCTTTATGCAAAAGGTCTCTTGTAAGGTATCATTACAAACCTTATAATCTATGGAGTGTGTTCATCCTATTTGTATGCATGTATCATTCTTGTCTCTGAAGCTAGAAATATGAAGTATAACTGAGGTCCTATTGTCATTATGCAAAATGTGGGCCATTAATGGTGGTTTAGAATCTTGATGGCTCCCATTGACTAGGACAATTGGTTGTAAATGGTTTATTTACCTGCAACCCTTCCTGTGTACCTGTAAACCAGCCTAGGAAGAATGGAGGTTGTGGTCTCACAAGACATGTGAACATGTCATCTGATACTGGAATACTTCTAAATGGAAAAGCACCAGGTTTAAGATGGAGGGGTGTGGACCCAGAGAGACAAAAGATTCCCACCTTGTGCCAAAGCTATAAAAGGGGGTGGAAAGGAACAAAGAGGCTGCAGTCATGAGAAAGCCCCTGTTTTCCACTTATGATGTCTGTTGGAACTAACAAGGACTGTACCAAGGAAAAGGATTGGGCCCAGACTAGCAAGGAGTCTAGTCTGTGAAAGAAGCTTATTGGAACATCTCTGAGGGTGAGATTGACCTGTATTCAGTTTCTTAATGTATTAGGCTTAGTCTTGCATGTTTTTGCTTGGTAACTTACTTTGTTCTGTCTGTTATTACTTGAAACCATTTAAATCCTACTTTTTAATACTTAATACAATCATTTTGGTTTATTAATTAACCATGAGTAAGTGATTAATACCTGGGGAAGCAAACAGCAGTGCATATCTCTCTATCAGTGTTAGAGAGGGCAGACAATTTATGAGTTTACCCTGTATAAGCTTTATACAAAGTAAAACTGATTTATTTGGGGTTTGGATCCTATTGTGAACTGGGTGTCTGGGTGCTGGAGATAGGTGACCTGCTGAGCAGTTTTTGGTGAAAGTTTGCAGCTTTGAGAGCATGGACCAGACCTGGGTCTGTGTTGCAGCAGGCTAGCATGTCTGGCTCAACAAGGCAGGGTTCTGGAGTCCCAAGCTGGCAGGGAAATGGGCTCAGAGATAATCTCAGCACATCAGGTGACAGTCCCAAGGGGGTCTCTGTGACCGAACCCATCACACTGAGATTCTGGTTCTCTCCTGAAGAAGAAATTAAGGCCAGGAGATCTGAAGATTAGATCAAGGGCTTGGTTTGAGCCTCTTTCTACATTTAACTCCAGAGATATATGAACTATACCCAGATACACCATCCAAAAGGTTGGTTTAGTAAAGAGGAGACGCAATGAGTAGCCCCACATATACTCCTCACATTGGGGCTGGCACAGTTGGTTAGAACCAAAGCTCAATGGAAAAATAAATATATACCAAGAGAAACATGCCTTCCTTTCTGTGCTCCAGTGCCGGGGCCACTCACCTCCTGCTACGTTATTCACATAGCTGGAGTAGCATAACTTACATTGACTTACTGCAGTAGTGTAGACATAGCCTCTGTCTAATTTGAAAATCCCAGCTTGTAACTCCCCCAAGGACCCACAAAAGTCTGTGACAAAGCCAGGTATCCTGACTTCCAGTCCAATGCTTTAACTGTAAGTCCATCCTTCCTCCTTTCAATTGCGACTATTGCTAGGACCTCAGATCACATATCTGTGAATGTACAATGGCTGTACCACCAGTAGTGACAGGATTCCTTATAGAAATCACTTTTTCAGTGATGCTTTCAAACCAGACTGCCCACACTGAATATTTGCTACTAATTTTTGTCTCTTCCCCCACCCCCTTTTTTTTTTAAATATCACCTTGCTCTTATATTCTTTTCCTCTTCTAACCAGCCAAGATGGGACTGAATCATACCACCAGATCCAAACCCTTTCATATTTTGGGGAAGTTTGGATCTAAATCAGTTTGGCTCAGTGCCATCTCAAGTAGCCTGTAACTGTCTCCATAGTTCTTGTTTCATTTCTGTCTTTGTTTCTTCTCCTCTCCTCTGCCTTTCTCTCTTTTTATATTTATTTCTTTTCTCCATCTCCACGCACTCCCCTCCTCAGTCGATAGCTCCTTTACTCAACCCCACTCTCCCAGTCACTGACCCTCTCGTTCACTGTCATTTTCCTCTGCTCTGACAGATGCTAACTCTTCCAATCTCTTCTACCTTTTAGAATTATTGTACTTTAAAATCCAGCAACCCATCCAGCATGTCAATTTCACAACATGGGAGCAGGTCTCCCATCCAGTGTTGTGTTGCTTAGCAACATATTTCTCTCTTCTCTGATCAGTCATTTCCCTACTGCGCTGCCTGCTGATGTAAGCACAACAAATGAAAGCAATATTACAGCAGCAATTGGTCTTGTCAGTATTTACTTATTATTATTGCTATGAAGGGGTTTATATGGATTTCTTCATGCCCTGCCTTGCTTAATAGAGAGCGGATCTTCCTGGCCTTTGTAGTATGTTTTCATAATTAATGCGCATTTACCACATTTGGCCAACATTTTCAAAATACTTTCAAAAGTGGCCACTAAATTTGAGGGCCTCCGTGGTTCAGTCCCCAAACTGAGACACTCATAGCTTAATCAACCCCCAGTGCATTGATCGCCAGAGTGTCGATCTGGCGGTAGTGTAGACATAGCCTAAGGGAGTTAGATACCCAATTATCATTGAAATTTCATGGAATTTGGGTAGACTCCATTAATTTTCTTCAAAAACCTTCAGATTTTCAGATATCATTTCTAATCATTGTTGGAGCCTTAAAGTATCCAGATAATACCATGGTGGTCAGACTCACGTCTGTACAGGATGGGTAGTATACCACTCAACCATCATGATACCAGCACTTAACATTAATGTCATGTAGACACAACAAAGGTTACAGACTCAGACCATCAGTAATGCCACATTTGTAATGCAAGCAGTTTTGAAAAGCTGGCCACATGTAAGGGCCTGGTCCAACCCCAATGCTAAGACTCCCACTGATTTCAGTGGGCATTGGATTAGGCTCTACATGTGCACAACTGCTTTCCATCTCCCAGCCCCTTAGCATTCCTGATTGACTGGATTAAAAAACACCTACATGAGTAACAATCTGCTAGAAAGCTCCCTAGATTGGAACTGGTTCACTAATAATTCAGCCCTCTTCATAAAGTTAGAAGTTAAAAAAAGTGAATACTGTGATGCCATGAGACTATCGTGTGTCTGTGAAAAGAGATGAGAGGTTTACAAACAGCGCAGTTCTTCAGATCTCACGCCGAATCTTCTTTAATCCCCCACAATCCACGGGATCAGAGCAAGTAAGATGGATTCAGGATCTGTCTGCAATTGCTCAATAGCAACAGGAAAATCTTTAAATCTTCTTTTGATCCAAAGGTAAATCATAAAGGATCTGGATCACAAACAGCCATGAGGGCAATAAAGATTATTCACTGTAAACTAGAGAGGCTGTATTGAGAGAGAGTGAAGAAATATTAGGAACGCTTAGAAACAGGAATAACTCTCAGCTCCCATAATTTATTAATGGATTACAGTATTATAAATTATTATTATTCACCTATGAAACACCGACTTGTTATAAAGGCAGTCAGATTAGATGATCATAATAGTCCCTTCTGACCTTAATCTATGAATAAATCATTGACTATACCAGCTAAAAAATGACCAAGTCAGTTTTATTTTTAACAAGTCATAAACTGTTTTATAATCAGTTATGATTTTCTCTCTCTCTAATCACCATGTAGAGCCCCCCAAATAAGAGGCCCACATTGCCCATCCTGACTCTGCCAGCTTTCAGATCAGTCATTAAACTTCTCACAATTAAGCTAAAGGAAAGATGGCCTATAGCTTTGTATTTTGCATTCACTCTTTTCCCTCTGAAGAGCAGAGGGAACTCGGCAGACTCCACATTCCCCCCTTGAGTTAGCAATAACTTTGCAGAGAACAGCCAGACTCTTCAAGAAGCCTTCAGATTTGTAGTAGCTCTTGGGACACAAGAAGTGAGAGATCATTGGCTTGTATCAAATGACGTGCCACAGCAGATAGACTCTGTTTACACTGCATCCTCAGCTTTTGCATGGCTGAACAGATGTGCTTGTGCACCTTTCTGCTAGAAGGATTTGATAATCTCTCCAAAGCCTCCTCAGTTATGGACACTCTCAGAGCGGAGACCAGACCTAACACTGAACAAAATGGGACATCCGGCAGCTTTCTGGCTTTTTTTAAGACACGATTTAGACTTCTCTCAGAACTGGTACAAGGAAAGCTTCGTAATGATTACTCTGAGATGAAACATAGGGTTCGGATAAGGCTTCAGAGATGCACATGGTCCTTCAATTTCCAAAATGAAAAAAGCATAATGATGTCCAAAAAGAGAAAAAGAAAGAAACCGAATGAACCTCTGGGTGTGTAGGTATGGGAGGGAGAATTTATGTACATACAGTAACTCATAGGTGCCTAATTCCATCTGCGTTATCTTTTATAAATGCAGATGGCCATATTATGAGCCAAATTCTTTCCCAACTTACATCCATGCAACCTAATGAAGTCAGTATGTGGTTGCATTGGGTGTAAATGAGGGAAGATCACCACTCCATAGTTTATCTAATGCCCTTTAAAATTTTTATATATATATATATATATATATATATATATATATATATACACACACACACACACACACACACACACACACACACCACCA